TTTTAGTGTAACAAGTTTTAATAGTGTAATATATGAGTTGTTATTAGTTTAGGTCTGTCTAAGTAGAGAAGAGACAAGAAGAAAGAACAGAAAAGAATACTACTATGCTACTAATGGAAAAACAAAAAAAAGCTAAAGTTACTCGATGCACACTTCCTACTGTCTACCCCTTATTTTGATGTTTACTGACACCTGCTCTGATCCTCTGGGTCTAATGGTCAGTGGCTAACAGTGAGGATAGCGAGGACATACTGCCAGCTGTCAGCATCCCAGGTCCTTTGTAGGGTGAGCATGATGTTCATGTTGTTTCTTTGTCCTTATTTATTGCTACTTTAGGGGCATTTTTATGTGAGCTAGAGAGTTATATCTCGTTTTTCATCACTGTTAATTCCTACAAATAAACCCGAATTTCCTCATCATTAGAAAAATTGCTTTCACAGCTAAACAAATGAGGGACAGCTGAAGGCAAGTTAAGGCAAGTTCAGACAAAGCAGTCCTGACAGGCCTCAGTCAGTGTTGAGGCCTTACAAAGTCAGCATGGAGCCTGTGGCCTGTACTAGCAGTGACAATTAGCCTCTGTTTGCTGAGCTTATGAGGCTGCATTAGCCCTAGAGGTGTTTTCTTCTCACTGCAACCATTGCAAATAAATATTCTATGCAGCAAATAAATATTCATGCAGCAGTCACCTAAGCTGAAAATTCAGCCTAATTGTGGATTTTGGTCCCTTGTTGTGATCCAGCGTTGGACGGGAAGGCAAAAACGATGTAAGGACCTGGTTGACGTGGCCATTTAATAAATGGTGGCAGGCAGGGGGGTTTGGAGTAGTCATAAAACAGTACCCAACAGTACTTTGCATTGTAGGCTGACAAACCACAAACCTTAGAAGTGAAAAAAAGACTACAGATTTTCTTAAAGCTGCAATTTTATTTTGCTTTTTTTCAACTTTTAGCCTTATCTGCAGGGTTTGATATTGCAAAGTGGTGCTTTATGGTTGATGTCCTTTATCTTTACAATGGATGTAAGGTATGTCTTCATAACAGGCTTTAAATTATTCTTTGCAGATGTTCAGCTGAAATATTTAAGTGCTGGTATCCACCTAGTGCTTGGTGTTGGAGTAATGACAAAGAGGGTGCATAATTTCATGTGCCTGCTCCTCTTTTGTCTCTGCAACACGAAACCCCCAATAAAACCACAGTGCTTCATCCTTCATGACTCTAGATGCAAGCATCTCTCTTTGCTTGCCTTAACTGGACTGCTGTGCTCAGCAAGCTATAACCTGAGCAAACCAACAGCCTTCAAAAAGGGCCATGGAAAAAGATTAGATTCTAATTTAGAAGCACCAGTAATCCAATAGTTACTATCACAATACCTGTGTGAAATAGTCCAAGGCAAGGTACAACACTGTGCCATGAATAGCACCCAGTAACTCTAGGCAAGTAATACCTACACAATGATTAACAAGGAAAGCCTCCTTATGTGACATAGCAAAGTTCCATATCATTACATCTCCACACAAATAAGACATCCTCCACAGATATGCCCTGCAAAGGAGGTGTCTTTCTTGAGATACCTCAAGAAACCAAAAACCTCTGCATAGTTTTTATGTCCTTTGTATATATTTGGCCAAGACTGTCAAAGTTGCTGCTTTATGTAAGTAAACACATTTTAAATTATTCTCCTAGATCTTCATCAAGGACATTTAGGAACAACTAGAGTTTTTTACCAACTGTTTAATAAATTTAAGGCATTATGATTTTATTCTGGAAGAGGTAATACAGATCTGTAGGGCTGGCTCCCTCACAAGTCCCCAGTCAGAGTCCCACACTTCTGAGTACAGGCTGAGGCAACTTGGGTGCACAAACTATTGACTGCACAAGCAGAGAGGTGTTCAGGTGAAGTAATAAATTGTACCACTTTCAGTGAAAAATAGAACTGACTTTCATCAGTGAATCCCTGGCTTTGCAGACTTGCTGCATGCTTGCTATAGCTCTGGGCACATAGCTTAGCTGTGAAATCAGACAACACTTGTGTCTTTTTGTCTTGGAGTTCAAACCAATAATTGAATCAGTCTTCAGAGAGCTATGAAAACATGTAAGTTGCCATAGAAATACAGGCCTGGAAGAGATCATCTGCACTAGGTAAGTTCAGCTATGTCAATAGCATCAGTGGCAGATGGTGGTCTAACCTGTTCTTGAACATGTCTGATGAAAGCCATTCTCTAATCTGCTGAGAGATCAAAAGGGACCATTGTGAAAATCTGTTCTGATTTAACCCCAGCCCTAATGCATTGCACAAGCCAAAACACTTCCCCAGCCACAGAGCTGCCTTGGGAGGTTGTACCAGAATTGTTAGGAAGGTGCCTAATCTGACTGTGCACTGAACACAGCAGGTTATGCACCCGGCCATAGCTAACAGATAATTATCTGCACTGTCACAAACAGTGCCACTGTATGTAAAAAGCCCCGGGAGACATCCAGTGTTGGGGGTGATACCACTGGGAGAGCAAGCCAGGCTGCTTCTCAGAGTGGCCAAGTGAAAGGCTCCTGGTCAGGCTAGCACACTGGAGATGCCACTGAATAACAAGGTAGAGGCAAAGAAAATAACTGTGATGAGTAAAAAAAAAAAAATAATTAAATAATAACACCAGACATCTGCAGTCTTTTCAGTTCAGCTGGCTTTGTTGCATAGCTGTCTTCCCACCATTATTTCAAGACTGCTTTCATAGAACAAAGGCATTCTCAAAAATCTCGGGCTTAGTAGAACTGTTTGAAGAAAGTGAGTGAGTGAGGCAGAGCTGGGATGGCCAGAGATGGGCAGGCAGTTGAGTTCATTGCCAAAAAGGAGCCAGAGGATTTCCCTGCCTTCCCTGCCCTGCCTGCCTACCCTGCTCTACTTGCCTGTCCTGCTCTGCCTGTCTGCATCTCACTGCAAGTTGTGACAACTAACTTGCTTCTCCAAAACACTCAGTTCTGCCAAATCAGCCTCTTCTCCTACTGGCATAGAACTCTTTCAGTGGAAACTTATAACCAGTTCCAGTAGCAATCCTCACAGATCTTGTGAGAGCTTAGTTTTGATTTTGTTTGCTCCTTTTCAGAACAGCACTGCAATTTCAACGTGTCAGTGCAGTCCTTAATGGAAAATTTTGTTGTCCTATGATCATCCTCTCAGTAAGATTGCTTTTTCAGCTACTCCTAAAACGTCTCTGGGCTGATGCAGAAACACTCTTGTAATTCTGATGTGGTGTAAATAATCATAATTTTTAATATCACTGGCAAATTCATTATGTGCAATTTCAAGTCTGGGCAATTTCTGCCTTCCTCACCCCCTCACTTTCTCTTCCTTTTTCTTCAAAACTCCTCTTATTGAATTGAATTCCCTTTCACCAGTGTTCTGAATAGGAACAAAAACTTAAAAGAAGGATAAAGATAAGTGCTAGTCCCACAGTATTTCTCACTTACCAAATATCCAAAGGATTTATGTTATGAAGGGGGATGAGAAGAGCTTGCTCTCACAGCACTCAGGTTTACACCATCAGCAGTATCTGCAGCACTGTGCACTCTCTAAAATGGACTGGGTCATGAGATCATGCCGGGCTGAATAATCCCACTTAGACAATGATATTTGCAGCATAAAATAGGCAGTCAGTGTCACACTAATGGTCATGGGAATTTAGTTATTAAGTTAAAAGTATAAGTAACATAGGTGTTAATTCTCTCTTGTACTGTTTAAGCTTTAAGAGACCTTGTAGCAGCTGGATCTTCCTCCACTTTCCTCACTTCTAGCAGGTAGCTGGGAGTGCTGTTGAACGCTCTGTACTTTCTGGTAAGATTTGGTAAACAACCAAGCCCGAACACGAGAAAATCCATTTCCATCATGTATTTGTTGATTCTAGCTCTAAGTGAAGGCAAAAAAGAACTGCGACAAACCACTAATTAAGTGGTGCAAAACTCCCACCACTGTTACACGAGTTATGACCCAAGCAGAGTTCACAGCAAGGATCATGGTTTAGGGGTGAGAGTTGAAGGCCAGGACCTGACAAACAAACTGCTGGTGTTTTGCAGCCTTACGATATTAAAAAGCAATTTTAACTCCTGGCCCTGCACAGAACCATCCCCAGGAGTCACATCATGTGCCTGAGAGAGTTGCATACATCCCACAGCTGTAAAGTGTACACCTTGTGTAAAGGGTGACAGGGGAAGAACTCCATAGCAGTAAGTGATTCACAGAATCACAGAACGTCAAGGGGTTGGGATGGAGCATAGATCACCCAGTCCAAAACCCTGCCATGGGCATGGGCACCTTGCACTAGAACAAGTTGCTCAGAGCCTTAGAGAACCTGACTGTGAACACTACCAGCGATGGAGCAGCCACGACCTCCCTGGGCAGCCTATGCCAGTGTCTCACCACCATGCTAGAGCTGGGCTTTACGAGACAGCCCTGGGTAGCAGTAACTCCTGCAGGCACCCGAACGGGAGTTTCAGCTCCCACGGGGTTCTGAGGCCAAACTGGCAATCCGGTGCTTCGGTAGCCGGCCCCGCCCGCCGCAGGCCCCGCTCTTGGCTGTTCCCTGGGGCAGGCCCGGCCCGGCCCGGGCAGGATGGGGCCGGCGGGCCGGTGACCCGCCCCCGGTAGTGCGGCCGAGCCGGGGCTGCGCGGTGCCGCGGGCCGGCCGCCACCGCCGGGCCGCTTGTTCCCTCCGCGCCGCCGTACGCGGCCGCTCCCGGCCCGGCCCGGCCCGCTGGGGCCACCGCCCGCCCAAGGAGCCGGCCCAGGGAGGCGGAGGGAGCTGCGGGGGCTCCATGCGGGGCGGCGGCGGCGGCCCCAGCCCGGGCCTGCCCAGGCCGCTGGCTCCTCCCCTGGGGAAGGAGGGTGCGCCGGGGCCGCCCCCGCGGTGTGACGGGGAGCGCAGCCCGAGCGGCCGCGGGCGCCGGGCCTGAGCCGGCGGGCGTCGGCACCACCTCCGGGGCCCGGCTCGGCCCGGCCCGCCCCGCCCGTCGGCGGCCACAATGTTCTCCCTCAAGCAGCCCAAACCCACCTTCAAGTCGTACCTTCTGCCTCAGGTAACCGCCTTTTACTGCCATTACTGACCTGCCCTCCTTGCCCTGCCTGTCCCGGGCCGGCCCTGGCCCTGGCCCTGGCCGAGGTGCCGCCCCGGGGCTGTGTCCGCTGGCCCGGGGGGTGGCGAGCAGCACCTGTGGCGGGGCTCCCCGAGCCCTCCGAGGCACCGGGAAACAAAAGCTGAGCCGCCAGTTCGGGGGCAGCCCCTCGGCCTCCGGGTCTCCGCGTCGCACACGGACAGAGCCCGCACTGTGGTCGGGAAGCGGGACTTCTATTAAAATGAAGTCTTGTGTTCATTAAAATCGGCCCGTGCGAAATGATTTTGGAAAGTTTTGAGATACGCTTCAGGTGTTTGGGCTCGCTTTGCTCGCAGCGCTGGGCGGGATGAGGAGAAAGCAGCGGGCGCTACTCTGCTGGGCAGATAATTAAACTCACTTGTAGCCATCGTTTCACGTTTAGAACGTGCCTGATGGCATAAATAAGAAAACCGAGTATATCTAGAAATTGCATATAGCGTATATAGTACTGAGTGTGTCGAGAACCACCAGGGTTTTTTTGTTTTATCTCGATGTGCACTTGACAGAAAGCGATATTTACTTTAGACAAGACAGGACCTCTTCTAGCAACGTGTTTGACATGTTGACTGATTTTTGTTTTTTCACAAAGTCTTTGTAAGAGCAAGCTGTCGATGTAATGGATAGGCTCTGGATATTCCTAGTCCTGGGAAAAGGTTATATTGCTGTCATTGTAGGAACCGTGGATTATTTCACCAAAGGTTCTAGTCTCTTTATAGAAGATTTTAATCTTTAAAGTTTGAAACTGAAGTGCAAATAAGCATAATGTGTGTTCTAGGCCTTGGGTCTTTTTGAAATCTTTCCTGTGTTGGAAAGTTGTGCATATTAGAAGTTAGTAGAGAGTTTTTTACAACTTGAGTGTCTGTATCTTTAAACTTGCTGAAGATCTCGAGCCATTATGGAATGTCAAGCCAAAGTGGTTTTTGTTCGCCCTGTGACTTGTGATGGTTTGGGTTACCCAAATTGGTTACCCAATTTGTTAAACATGAATATTTAAAATATTTTGTTGTTATTTTGGTATAAATCTAAATGGCTCCAAAATTGTTAAAAACTCTTGCTATTATTGGATTCTAGCTGTTCAAGATGAACTTTTAAAGTTAAAACAACTTTCTCTTCTGTACAAGCAAATCAGGCTTGTGTCTGACAGTAAATTTCTGAGCATTAAGTAAATTATCTTTTTTGTTTTTCTTCAGGCTGATGACAATACAGTGTCAGAACCAAGGATTAAAAAACTGGAACCAGTACTTTTACCAGGTAGGCATGAATCCGGAATTTGACGAATACTTCTGTTGGTATTGATTTTGGTACATTTTAATCTTAGCATTGCTCATTTAGTTAATACTGTTTTAGAGCAGGAAAAGGTAATGCTATTCGTGTCTGGAGAAACTTACTCTAACCCACCTGAAATGCTAAATAAATACTTAGGCAATTTTGCCTGTGTGATGCTTTAATATGTATAATGTCTTGGTTTTATTGTGAGTATTATAAATTAAACCACTGTTAAGTGTTTTTACATTCTTGACACCTTTGGAAAACTACTGGTAAATACACTTTCATTAGATAGATAGTTACCTGTGTGCAGAACCCAGTACAAAGCCTGTGTCAGGATCTTCCTTTATTTTAAAGGGAAATAGTAATAGAATTTCAAGTATGTGGGAATTATTAACTTCTGTATTGGAAAACTTCCAATGCTATCTTTATTCATTTATTGAATATGGTGCTGTTAGGTAAGTTTGGAATTTGTGTCTTCAGAGCTCTACAGAATAATCTTTTTGGGGTGTGGGTGAAATAAAGTGATGCTTTTATTACTGTTTATCGTTACATATTTATAAAAATATAGGGTGGATGCATGTAGGACATCCATATTTTAAATAAGAATTAATCTCTGGTAAACGACCATTTGATCTATGAGGATTTCTAAAAGCATTTTTTCAGCTATGGAAGGAAAAATCTACTGTTCTCAAGATTACTTCCGTTGCAAACTGTACATCACAGTAATAAATTTGGCCTGCAGTTTCTGAGGATAATTTTGAGCTTAAAACAATGTCATGCTACAGGTTTTTCTTAGCATTCAGAATGGATATTAAAAATATGAATTTACACACACACGTAGGTATAAACAACTCTTAAAAATTATTTGTCATTGCTTTACATGGGCCTGTTGCTAATTAAGCAGTACTAATTGATATGTGATATGGTCCAGTGAGGTACCTAAGAAGCTGAAATACTGTGGAAGAGGTTCAACTGAAAGAGTAAATAACAACTGCCATGTTCTTCATGAAACAAAAGAATGGAGAGTTTGCTTGAGGCATAAATGTCTTAAAATACATTGCTGAGATTGCTTGATATTTGAAATAGTTATGTTTTTTATGCTTGCAAAACTTCTGCTTACCACTTGGCATCTCCCTGATTATGTTGCAGTTGATATTCATCCAAGGCCTTTGACTCACAAGGAAGTGACTGCATGCTCTTCTCTGAGACATTCCACAGCAAATGCAAGGCAGTTCAAGAGTACTGTGCTCAAAATGCAGCACATCTTGCCTTTGCTGTGGGACCTGGCCATGAGCAGTTACAAGAAGTAACTTCTGTGCTGCCACTTTTTGCATCGTAGTTCATTCTCTATTTGTGAAATTCCCAAGTACTCTTAAAATGGTGCTGACTGGGTCTGGTTTTTTCAACTGGTTTGTATTTATTCCCTCTTGCATCGTTTTCTGTGTCTGCACTCTCTTTGAAGTCAGCATTTGATGGCTTTTGGGGCATTTGTAGTAAGTTGCCCCAAGTTATGTAGAAGCCACAGTATGATGTACCACAGACTTAAAATTTCCACCTCCATATCATTCTAAGGTATTATTTTGAATTATTTAATGACAAAATTCACTGCTCTGTATAGCCACAGAGTATCTCTGACAAAATCTGTTCATGACTCTTGTGTGAGATTTGGGAGGGTGTTAGGAGTGACTTATTTAAAATTACTTAAATGTAGCTCTTCCTGTTTGAAGTTAAGCACCAGCCTAAACACATTTTTTTTTGTTTCTGTCATCAGCCGTGCTGTAGAAAAGTGCATAAACAAGTACACATTGTACTGTTGGATAGACTGGCTTTTGGATTTGTCATAACCCAAGTTACTGGCCAAATTCCAACTCATTTAATTATATTAAAACTGACTTACACTTCCTTGTAAATACAGTTTCAGTATGGCATTCATAACATCCTATCCTTAACAGTTGTGTGAAATTGCTTTTGGTCTCAGGAACAGAGATAAACCTGAGTGGCTGAATGTTTGTTGTGCCTTTTTAAGTAGTGGAGTTTTTTAAGGAGTTCTTTTGGAATTAAGTTACATTAGCACAAGCGGGTCCTGGCTCTAGTAATCTTCAAAACCTGCAAATGGTTGTATTAAGGTTTTGGTTTTTAAAACATAGTGACTCTGAGGGAGTGGCCTGCTTACTAATTCCAAAGTAGCTAAATACCCTGCTGTCTAACTTGTATTTCTATTCAGTGCAGGTTAGGACAAGGAGTTATAGACTAGGAGATAATACATCTGGTTAGAAAATGGAGTGGTTTTTACTAAAAAAAAAAAAAAATCATTGGAATCAACTTTCAACCTGTAGAATTTGTTTTGAAAGTTTCTTCTGAAGCCCAGGGCCTGCATCTCATCAGAATTTGGAGCAAAAGCCTGTATTCTGATGGAACTGTATACCCTGAGGAAGGTGTTTATTGGGAAAAGGAACAAGTATCATTTAAAACAAGTAAAAACCTTGGTTGTAAGGGACAACACTGATACTACAGTAGGGAAAAGCAAGTAATTTTATAGGATTTGGTGTAATTTCACTGCAAAACACGACTGAGGTTTGAGATGGAGTTATAAAAATGTTTTCTTTTTCTTTCTGCACCTCTGTTTTCCTAGTGTTAGCTCTATTAATGAGAGTTGCTACAGAATTAGTTAAGAGTTGGCCTCTGTAACAGTTTCACTTTTTTCCCCTTTGTTTGTGTGCATTGCTGATTTTATAAGCATGTCAAAGTGGAAAATTACAAAAATAGCAGGTAGTCAGTCTGTTAAAGTGCCTTGCCCGGCTGGTAGGAAATGAGTCTGTGTACCTTAGGGGGAGTGCTGAGTTCAGGCTGTTAAAGCTGAAGGTGTGTTTTGTTCTGGTGATCAGCTATGGCCTATTTTCCATAATTGTGTCTGTAGCGTTTCAAAGTCATCGACCTGAGCATTTAAAAAACCTGTCCAGCACAAGTGGGCTGTGAATGCAGAATGTGTCTCCATAATGTCAATGCAGAGAAGTGTGCAGAAGTCAAATACAGGGATGGACCAGTCTAGTCCAGTGTCTGTGCTGGAACCAGTGCCACTGTGGTTTAGGCAAGACCAGCCAACGAGATACTCCCTGGTGCTCACACATGGCATTCTGCAGCCGATTATGTGACCAGTGGAGCAGCTGATGGAGTCTGAGGAAAGGACTGTGCCTCCCCAGTTTTAATGTCCACTTGAATTAGTTGAATTGTTGCTCAGTATGCTAATTTGCTAGTAGATTTAGTAGTTGCTACCTGTTTTTACAAGAAGGCTAGAAACGGTTATAAAATTATAGACAAAACTGAATTAGAATAGTAGTGTTTATGTTTAAGGCTTGCTCATGCTAAGGTAAGTTAAAGCGGCCGTGGTGGTGAAGTGCTGCCGAAAGCAGTTACTGACACGCTGCCGTGTGTGCCCCGTGGTCAGATGGCAGAAGGGAACCTTAGAGCCACCCCCGGTGTGCGGTCACAGCCGCGGTGGGTGACCAGCAGGGCACAGGTTCGAGGGCAGCAGGACAGGCAGCATTCCCAGCTGCTCCCTCTGTCCTCCCTGCGGAGTGCAGCATGGGGACTTCCCTCTTGCCGGCACCTAAAGGGGACACCCAAGTGAGGAGTCGCAGGATGTCATAGAAACAATGTTGCCATGTCCAATTCCTCTTGCTGCATTTGTCTTACTTGAATAATTTACACAGTTGCTTTCTATAGCTGTGTAAATGTTTATCACCACAGCTTCATGGCAGCAAGTTCCCTGGTTTAATTTTATGATGTTAAAACGCCTTTGAATTGTTTTTTTGTTTTTTTGTTTTTTTTTTCCTGAAATTACCACCATCCAGTTCCTTTGGATAAATCTTAGTTCTTGTAAGACATAGAAAACATTAAGCCATATTCCTCCATCTAATGCAAACTGTGGTTTTCAGACCTGTGTTATATGTGCAGCTTGTTTTGCTTTGCTTTAGCTTAATTGTCTTAGTTGGTCCTAAAAATGAAGTTTCCCGTATCTGTAATCACCTTTTTGATTAATTCTGAACGTTTTTTGGTTGTGCTGAGTTCCTGTTTTTTGTCGAGGTGGAATTATGTATCATTCAAGATTTTTGCCATTGGATATATTTGGCTTTTATTTAATAATGCTGATTGACTTTGCCACCTACTTTTTAAATTTCTATTGGCTTTTTATATATATGTGCCTTTAGAAAGGCAAGTGACTGTAGAAATTTAATTTTGGGAGGCTTTTAAGACTGTATTAAGGAAAGATTTAATCTTTTAGAAGAGTCTGTTTCTCTTGCAAGTTAGCTCCCAGCTTTTTGGTTTTTTTCTGCTTTCTGCAATTCCTTATTAAACTGAGTCATGTGTTCCAGAGCAGCTGCAACACATCATGTGATAGGAGAGGGAAATCTGCTGTTCAGTGAGGCACCCTTGTGCATTAGTGCCCCAGGTATGTTATTTTCTCACTGCTTTGGACCCCTGCACCTCTTCCTTGGCATTTTGGTTTGGTCTGCAGAGGCCCCGCAGTGCAGTGAGTGCTCGGGCCGGGGCAGGGTGGGGATTGTGTGAGCCGGGGCCCAGGTTAATGAGGTTAATGAAGTTAATGAGTAACCCCCGAGATCTCGGGTCTGCCCTGCTTGGCTATTCGGAATCATGTTGCCTTAATTCTTCCAAGGAGAGCTGGGCTTGTGTACTTGGTACAAGTGCTGTGCTGTCCCTGTCAGTGCCTTTTCCTGTGGGTATTTCTGGAACGAGGTATGGATATTCGGCAATCTGATGTGTTAAGGATGTGCGTGTGTTGCTGGTGACTGGTAGCACCTGAACAGAACTTGCCTAAAGGCAGCTCCTCCCTGTTCCAAAGCACTCCGAGCTGTTGATTCTCATTTCCAGAGGTGTGGAGTGCTCGCCAAGGCTCGCTCCCTCCGTGTGCAGCTGAGGAAAAAGACATCATTGCAGGATTCGGTTTTTTCCCCTGCATCAAG